AGAAATGCAAATCAGAGTCCTGAGCGAAGCAAAGCTGACTTTTACAGTCTGCTGGGATGAAGGAGAAAATCTTACGCACCGGTGACCAGATGCGCATTAGTGTAGCCAGTAGGGATAATATTACCACGGCTCCTCAAAAAATGAAAGCAGAATTGTTACAGGATCCAGCCCCACGCTGGGGTAGAGAGCCACAGAAAATGACACCAGTGTATCTAGGGGACACCGGCACCCCTGTGTCTAGGAGAGCACCATTCACAGCAGCCCAGGTATGGAGCCAGAAAGTGATGAGGGATAGATGAACGGAGGTGGAAAGTGTGGGGTCCGCACAGTTCGGTAAATCCAGCCGCACACGAGCAAAGCCCTGTCCTTTGGGGCAGCATGGATGGAACTGGGGCACGTGATGCCAAGTGAGCTAAGCCGGCACAGAAAAATAGCCCGTGTTCTCCAGCATGCATGGCGGCTAAAACAGTGGGCTCCACAGATATAGAAGGCAGAAAAAGTAGGGGCTAAAGGGGCTGGGAGGGGGGCCGGCAATGGGAGGAAGAGGGCTGGCGTAGCCCAGGGGCAGGCTCCTGCGTGGCTTGCAGGAGATCAGCAGTACGGGCCAGGAGGAGCGTGTTCCATGGCACAGGAATGCGACTGCAGCGTGGCCGCTTCTTTCTGTATAAAGAACTAGAAAGGAGACACGGGGAGATTCCCAGCACAAAGATCCGTGTTTAAGGAGAGAAAGACACTACTTTACTGTCGTTAGATCGTGATGCACAGGAATAATATAGGGATCACCTATCCTCTACTTCATGAGTTTGTACAATTATGTTCCAATGTTTTAAAAAGAAAGAATTACAGACCTAGGAAAAGACTCGTGGCAATCTGGCTAAAAACTCTCCTGAACCAGGGTTGTTTGAAGCAAAACTGACTTTTACAACCTATGTATGGTGCCAAAGGGGAAAAAGTCAAACCTGACAGTGAAATTTATTTCAGGAGCTATCTCAGGTTGATCTACATGTATTGATTGGTTGATTGGTTTTGGGGGACAGAGTCGCACCACGTACAGTAGTTCAGGCTGGCCTTGAACTCATGGTGACCCTCCTGCCTCAGCTTCCAGAATGCTGGGACTACAGGCAGGCACCACCACACCTAGCTTTGGTGATACTTCTATCGTGGCATCTTTGAGATCATGATCTTAGGGGTGCAGGGAACAGTATTTCTCTTTCCCCTGTACCCCACCCTGCAAATCTGCCACTGGGCAGGCAGAGAAAGGAGAAAGTAAATGGGTGGACGGGCAGCACCTGCTCTCTGTCGAGGCAGAGTCCTCTCTGGGTAACACAGCCTGGGCCATACTCCAGTGTCGGGGTCAGGCTTCCATCATTCCTGTTTCCTGAGGATGAACTGAGCCAGGCACCCCCAGCCCCACTGGGGTAACATGGGAGGGGTGGCCATGTGCCACCCTGCAGATGTCACCGACCCATGGCTACTTGGGTGCTTGAAGTATTGAACTTGAGCCTGAGAGAAACTGGGAGGCTGAGGCAGGAGGATCACCACAAGTGCAAGGGCAGCCTGAGCTACAGAGTGAATTCCAGACCAGACAAGGGGGGAAGGAGGGGACAAACTGCTGTAACTCCTCCAACCCTGTTTGCTGTGAATTCCAGTCTCTCTGTCTTTTCTTCCTGTCTCCGCTGACCTTACTCAGGGTCTCGCTGTCTGTGTCCTATACCATGGCACCAGCCTCTAAGCTCTCTAAACTCTCTACTCAGAGCCCTTTCCTGCTGCCACCCAGCCTCATTTGATCAAGTTATTGTTTGTTTTAAAATTTCTGACGGGGGCCGGGGATATAGCTAGGCGGCGCAATGCCTGGCTGGCAAGCATGAGGTCGTGAGCTGGATTCTTGGTACAAAAAAAAAAAAAAAAAAGAATCTGACAGTTCCAGCATAAAGTTTAAACTTTGGAGCTTTTTTTCTTTGAGACATAAAGAATGCAGTTCAGGCTGGCCTTGAGTGAAAGGCTGAGTCTAGCCAGCTTGCTTGGGCTCGTCCTGGTGAGCGGGCTGTGAGGTGGGGGTGACATTCTCTCTACTTCAGAGGCTGAAGAAGTCATTACACCCAGCACTCTCCGAGACCATTGCCAGGGCCGGGGTGGGAGCTGCCACACAGCACTGGCCGAAGGGTCCACCAGGTCCTGTTCCCAAAGGTGTCCTGAGTCCCCCAGCTCTGGGCTTCCACCTACACTGCTCCCTTAGCTGGCCACATCCCGCTCCTGCAGCGTCACACAGCCTCCAGGTGACGTGCAGATGGCGCCTTCCGGGTTCATCCTTCCAATTTGTTCACAGCCCCGGTCCTATTTGACTTCATCACCATGTTTGACTTTATTAGAGGGTGAGACAACCGACATTGTCCTTCCTTGCCAAGACCCCTACCAACATCTTACACAAAGGTATTGCCAGTAATAATGCTACAGGCGCCACTTTTTTGGGCAGTGTTGGGGATGAGCCCAGAGTCTCCCACATGCCAGGCAAATGCTTTACTGCTAAGCCGCATCCCAGTCCTTCTCTATGTATCTTTCCTCCATTAGACCTTAAACCCTCTTTGAGCTAGCAAGAAAATGCCATTTGCAGCCAAAATTCCATGCTTAAATATCTGTTTTGCTATTTCCAGGTGGGGTAGAAATAATCTTTAATTTTTTTTAGCCTCATTTTTGTCTTTTTTTTTTTTAAACAAAGTCTTGCTCTGTAGTTGAGTCTGGCCTCGAATGCATTATGGAACCCCGGCTGGCCTCAGACTTGCAGTGGTTCTCCTGTCTCAGCCTCCAGAGTGCTGCGGTCACCGGTGTGTACCACTATGCCTGCCTCATTTTCATCATCTTTGGAAAGAAATAAACATACTAAACTTGAAAACAGTTGTGAAAGTCAGAACAATACACAGAAAGTGCCTGGGGTGCGGGTTACTTTGGAAGGTCTCTGGTTCTGAAGTGATAATAACCTGTCATGAAAATGGGTGATGCCACCCTGGTTAGGACCCCAAGAACAGTTCACAGCTCCCTTCCACCAGATTTCTTGTTACCACTGCCAAAACAGCCCCAAGAGAAGAACGTGCCATGACCAGTCTCTAAACTGCAAAATTTATGGTCACTTTTGCCTCTGTCTTCCTTCTCCTTCTTTGAAATACCTTTTATCTCCTTTTCTATACTGGAGATTGAATGCAGAAAGTACTGAGCTAAATCCCCAGCCCCTGGATTACTTTTAAAACACCTGTCTTGCCAGGCCACCTCTCTGGCCGAAAGCGCCCGGAGGTGACCCTGTGGCCCATCCTCTCTCCTCACATCGGCAGCCATGCTGTGAGGCCTGCTCTCTGCCACTCAGCCAGGTTACCGCACTCATCTGAGGCGGGGCTTCTCACCTGCACGCCTTTCCTGTCTCTCAAGCTCTCTATTTTCTTTGACACCTTCCACGGAGACCTTCCAGAAACTTCTGAGGCCGGGAAGAGAGCTCAGCAGCCCAGCACCTGCCTGGCAAGCATGAGGTCCTAAGTTTGATTCTTGATACCAAAACCAACACAATAAAATAAATTTCTACTCAATTAACTTATTAAGTGTTTTAGAAGCACAGAAACACTGATAGAAGAAGACATGCTTATAAAAGCCTCAAAGGAATGTGAATAGTGAGTGGCATCCAAGTGCCCACCCAAAGTCCCAACCCTCAAATGCCAATCACTGGGGAGTGGTTAATGAAACTATCTATTCTGCAAAATGCTGTGCAGCTATTTAAAAAGGAGGCGGTCAGGCTGGGTGCAGCGGCAGGCACCTGGAATCCCAGATTATTGGAGGGAAAACAGGAGGATGGCAGTTTTGAGGCCAGACTTGGTAAATTAGTGAGATCTTGTCTCAAAGTAAATAAAAAAGGGTAGAGATATCACCCAGGAATAGAGTGCCCCTGAGTCAATGCTCAATACTGACAAAAAAAAAAAGATGGAAGAGGAGGAAGAGGAAGAGGAAGGAGTCCATGTGTTGGTACTCCTTGACATAGTGAGATTTAAAACCCAAGGAGCAGCATGGACAGTGAGATATGTGGACTACGGCCTTGTCTGGTACAGAAGGAAGGTGCTCAGGCCCGGGGCTCTAAATGCCTGGGTTTGAACCCTGGCCCTTGGCAATATCGGCAGGGATCTGAGGGATTCTCCTTACTTCTGGTCTCAGTATCCTCAAAATCATGGCTATGCATGAGTTCATTTCCAGAAGGTACTTAGAGCAGGGCCCAGGGCAGAGCCAGTGCTCTGGAAGCATTAGCGACAATAATAACATAAAATTCTGCTCCTACCAAAGCATCACAAGTGGTCCGCGCGAGGCGAGAGTGAGGGACCCTTACCTCTTGTTTTGCTTTTCTATTTTAACTCTGTGAAAGCCTCAGTTACTCTCAAGTGTTGACAACAGCAAAGGACTGAATGGCTCGTGAAAGAAATAATGAAGGAAATTGATGTTTAAGACATTTAATCGAGGAGGAAAAGGCTCTCTCCCTGGTGGAGATGTGTTTGTTTTTCTAAGAAGGCTGGTGATTAAGCCGGATGCAGATGGGAAAACGGCCTGACTGAGGTCTCCCATTTCACTGACTAACTTCTTAGGGTACGGCGTGCAAGCCATTGGGGGTCCCCAGGATCATCCTTCACTTCAGGACGCGGAGAGTGGTGTGTGGGAACCTCACTGCTCTGACTACTGGCGGTCCCAGGAGAGGAAATAGGCTTCTTCCCACCCTGCGCTCTGCGTGGGACCACAGCCTGCAAGTGCTCCGGGGGCCACACCTCTGTCACCTCTGGCCCCTCACCCCTCCGGCCCCTCATCTCCCCTGAGCTTGCCCATGGCTGTCCCTGCCCTGCAGTTCTCTATGACATCCTTGACCCCGACCCTCACATGGTCGCAGAAGTGGCCCGCAGTTCCCCAGGCCACGCTGGACTGCAGCTTTTCACAGTGTCCCCTCATGAAATCTGCAGGGCGTGGGAAGGTCCGAGTCTTACCTGGATGGCTTCGTGCTACGCTCCTTAATGAAGGAGGGCAGGACGAACAGGAAGAGGAGCAGCAGAGCCAGAAGCAAGAGCCACAGGACCCCGTGGCCCAGGTGGCCGCGTCTCCGCAGACAGGACCTCATGCTGGTGGGCCGGCACCTACGGGAAACGTCTTCTGCACATCCTGGGGCTCACTGCTGTCTGCTGGCCAGGACGCCCGCCCTTCCCTGGCTGCAGAGGAGCCGCCTTTTCAGCTCTGGGAAGGCTCAGAGGCTGTTGAGGCTTGAAGGAAGAGAAACCTCCTTTTGTTCAAACAAGTTCACCTTTTTTTTCTTTTCCAGTCTCTGAAGTCAATTTCTGGACATAGAACTTTACGAGAAACGAACATAGGTTGCATGCACCTTGCTTTCTCTCGGGCTACTCAGTTTCCTTGCCTCATCTTCATAGAAATGGTGTGGTCCCGAGGCCGCTCCGGGGGCAGGGTGTTCTCGTGTCCCCGTTTCACCCCTGAAGAAACCTCGGCAAGCTAGCAGGTGCCCGGGCGTGGAGGGAGCCAGAGTCCGGGGTTGTGTTCCTCCCCATGGCACAGTAGCATCGTGGAGAAATCATTAACTCTGCAGAAGAAAGAAAAGCAGCGCAGACTCTGGGGGTGGGGTGGCAGGGAATGGACAGTCGAGAGCAATAAAACTAAGCTCAGGTTTCTAGGTTTGGAGAAAGGGACAGATTCAGAGGAGCAGCCCTGCACGAGGGACTGCGGACCATTGCTTCGGTGCCCTGGAGCGCACAGGTCTTCTCAACAGGGATGCTGGGAAAGCGCCCCTCGGAAGGGAGCGACTCAGAAGGACTGGGGGGACGCGAGTTCTTTGCCCACACCAGGCAGTGAACCAGACTCCTACAGTGTCCCCTCCTCTACCCAAAGCCCTTGGCCTTAACCCACGGGGTGCACCCAGAAATGCCTCTGCCACTGCCCAGGGAGGGCCTCAGAGCAGAGAGGACAATCTCCTTCAGCACTGACCCATATGCATAATCAGTCCCTCTTCTCTCTCTCTCTCTCTCTCTCTCTCTCTCTCTCTCTCTCTCTCTCTCCCTCCTTTTCTCACCCCTCCCTCCGCCCAAGGAGTAAATGCTCATCAAACACTGACTTTATAAACATTTTGTGAATAAACCTGTGTCAATTCCTAACTCACTTTGGCCTGAGTCGCCCTGGACTCCGAATCCTCCCGGGCACTTGGCAGGTTGCAGTTACATACCTCCTGCGTCCCAGTGCCCGTTTTTGGTGCTGGGCAGAAGAAAAGCACATGAAGAGGCTTTTGCATACCAACCAGCAGCCCGTGCAGCCTGAGCAGGGCGTCCCTCTCCTCTCAGCCCGGCTCGGGAGCAGGGATGGGGGTCAGCATGCCCTGACAGCCTCAGGGGTGGAGGCTCCCGCTGAGAGCACCCGAGGGCACCTCTGGCTGCCTCGGGAGCCTCCGAGGTGGTTGAACTGGAAATCTGAAGCCCAGCTGAGGAGTGGGGAGGCGGTGGGGGTTCCTCCAGAGTTCATTTCCTGGTTTTCTCAGGTTTAAAGCTGCACCATGTGCCAGGGAAGAATGTGAGACAGAGAACATGCATCAGGGGGACTGGCTCTGGATATTACCAAAAGTCTTAGGTTTGGTCAGATTTACTTTTCTCTCCTTTTTAAATGGAAACTTTTGACTTCTTTATGTACCAGCAGCCAACAGGTGAAAACATACCTACCGACAAGATTTGTTAAAAGATAATCCACAGGAACAAGACATGAATGTGCCATTCTTACTGCATAGAGATCTGGGAACATTAGTAAGAGCAACTAGAAAAGAGGAATAAATAAAAGGGGAAGATTGGGAAAGGAGGAAGTTAAATTATCATTATTTGCGGATAACATTATACTCGATATAGAAGACCACAAAACTTCCACGAAAAGACTTCTAGGCTTAATAAGCAAATTCAGTAGCATGGCTGGATCCAAAGTCAGCACTCAAAAATCAATAGCCTTCCTGTACACAAATAATAAACTCACTGAGAGACAAATTAGGGAAGCGACACCTTTCACAATAGCATTCAGAAAAATGAAATACTTAGGAATCAAAGGAATGAAAGAAATAAAAAACCTTCAGGCCGAAAACACAGTACTCTGGAAAAGGAGACTGAGGAGGATGTCAGAAAACGGACAGCTTTCCCTTGTTTTTCGGTAGGAAGAGCCAATCTAGTGAAAATGGCCATGCTTCCAAAACTGTTGTGTAGATTTAATGCCATCCAAATTAAAATTCCAGTAGCATTATCTCATAGAATTAGAGAAAACAATCCTAAAATTTATTTGGAACCAGAAGAGACCTAGAACAGCAAAGATATTTCTGGGTAATAAAGGCAAGGCAGGAGATATCACAATCCCAGACTTAAAAATACATTACAAAGCTACTGTGATAAAGACAGCATGGTATTGGGGGGGGGAACAGACCCAGAGACCAATGAAACAAAATAGAGGATGCAGAAACAACTCCAAACGCAGCCATCTTATCTTTGACAAGGGAATCAAACACATTCACTGAGCAACAGCCTCTTTTATAAATGGTGCTGGAAATAGAGGTTTTCTACATGCTGAAGATTAAAACTACAACCATATTTTCAACCATGCACTAAACTAATATTGAAATGGATCAAATATCTAAATATCAAAATAGAAATACTGAATCTGCTGTAATATAGAGTAGGTAAAAGATCTATTGAAGAGTTACCTACTATAGGCAAAGACGTTATGAACAAAACCCCAGTCACACAGGAAATATACAAAGAATCAATAACTAGGATCTTATTAAAAAGCTAATGCAAGCAAAAGAAACCACCAACAGAATGAAGAGACAACCTACAGTGTGGGAAAAAAATTTTGCCAGCTATTCCTCAGACAAAAGACTAAGGGGCTGGAGGTTTAGCTGAGCGGCATAAGTGCCTGCCTTGCAAGCAGGCAGTCGTGAATTCGATCCCCGGTACCGATAAAAAAAAAAAAAAAAGACTAATACCTAGAAAACATAAAGAACTCAAAAAAATCAGAACCCCCACATTTTAAAGACCCAATCAAAAAATGGCATCTGATGGGGCTTTAGCTCGGTGGCATAAGCGCCTGCCTTGCAAGTGTGCGGTCATGAGTTTGATCTGTGGTACCGATAAAAACTAAAAAGACAAAAAAAATTTATAAGATGGCATCTGAAATGAACAGACATTTTCAGATGAAGAAGTAGAAACAACAAATAGATATATGGAAAAACGTTCAGCATCACTGATCATTCAAGAGATGCAAATTAAAATAGCACTGACATGGCTGAGCATGGGGCACATGCCTGTAATCCCAGCACCTGGGAGGCTGAGCCAGGAGTGTCCCAGCCTGAGCTACGTAGTGAGATCCTGTCTCAAAGAGAAAAAAAAAAAAAAACACAAACACTTTCCATCTCACTCCAGAAAGAATGGTTATTAAGAAATCAACCAGTAACAAATGCTGGCAGGGCTGTGCGGAAAATGGAACCCTTCTCCACTGTTGGCAGGAGTGTAGACTGGTGCAACCAATGTGGAAATCAGTGTGGAGATTCCTCAAAAAACTAAAACCAGAGGTTCCATTTGACCCACCCATCACCCTTCTTGGTACCTTCCCAAAAGAACTGAAAGCATCATCCCACAGCAATATATGCACACCCATGTTTATAGTGGCACAGTCTGCATTAGCTAAATTTTGGAAACAGCCCAAATGTCCATCAACTTATGGATAAAGAAGATGTGGGGTTTTTTTTAATGCAGTAGAGTACTACTCTGCCATAAAGAAGGACAGGCGTGAGACATTTATAGGTAAATGGATGCACCTTGAGACCAAACTTTTTGGCCATGTGTAAAGACCACACTGTTTCTCTGGTGTGAGAAACCTCAAGTGTAAATAGGGACCAAAAGGTATAACAGATATTGGGAAATGGGAAGAAAATGTTCAAATGGGAAGGGAAACTAGGGAGGGGGGACAAGGAAAGAGAGGAAGAAGGGGAAAAGGAAACAACTTTTGTACATGAGGAGAGAGGGGATGAGGGGCAGGGAGGGGAATGGGAAAAAGGAGAAGCAAGAATATAAATTCCTTATGAAGAATGTTGCCAACAGTCTTCATATCTAAACTGTACCAAAAATTAAAATAAAAGTTAAAAAGATAATCTGCAGCGAAGTGTGGTGGAATAAGCCCCAAATCCTGGCATTCTGGGAGGCTGAGGCAGGAGAACTGTTGTGTGGGAACCTAGCCTGAGTAATGTTGTAGCTAAACATTACGAAAACTAAAAAGTAAAAACAGTAGCTCAGCACTAAGCCCTGGGTTCAATCCCCAATCTCTCTCTCTCTGTCTCTCTGTGTCTCTCTGTGTCTCTCTGTCTCTGTCTCTCTCTCTGTCTCTCTGTCTCTCTGTCTCTGTCTCTCTCTCTGTCTCTCTGTCTCTGTCTCTCTCTGTCTCACTCTCTGTCTCTCTGTGTCTCTCTGTCTCTCTCTCTGTCTCTCTCTGTCTCTGTCTCTCTCTGTCTCTCTGTATCTCTCTGTGTCTCTCTGTCTCTCTCTCTGTCTCTGTCTCTCTCTATCTCTCTGTCTCTCTCTCTCTGTCTCTCTCTCTGTCTCTGTCTCTCTGTCTCTGTCTCTCTCTGTCTCTCTCTGTCTCTCTGTGTCTCTCTGTCTCTGTCTCTCTCTCATCTCTCTGTCTCTCTGTCTCTCTCTCTCTGTATCTCTCTGTCTCTCTCTGTCTCTGTCTCTGTCTCTGTCTCTCTCTGTCTCTGTCTCTCTGTCTCTCTGTCTCTGTCTCTGTCTCTCTCACACACACACACACACACACACACACACACACACACACACACACACGAGTAATTTGCTTAGTAAAGGTCATGTCATGAGCCTCCGATAGATAGAGGATATAAAAATGTGTTAAAGATTTTATTCTACTCATGAGAGAAACAGGTAGCCATAATAACCAACCCAAGACAGAAGTACAGGAACGCAAGTTAATTTAGAGTAAGAATAATCAAAATGAATTACAGCGGAGTGGGGGGGGAGAGAAGCGGCTTTTCTGCTGGACGGTGGGAAGTCACAGACAGGAGAGTCTGCAGGTCACCGCTTCCTCCTGTCTGGGGCTGCGAGTCCCTCAGAAGCAGCAGAAGGTGAGCTCAGCTAACCCGGGTCCTCTCCCGACACAGCGCCATCCACAGCCAGAGCTGCCGAGACTCACTTTAGGCTGGGATTCTTCTCCTTCACTTCTCTCTTTGAGAGGAGGTCTCACTGTCTTGTGCTGGTTGGTCTCCAATTTAAACTTGCAATCCTCTTGCCTCAGCCTGAGATTAGATGAAAAGACTAAAGATAGACAGAAAGGAGACAAGGATGGTTATCATTTTAAAATTGGACTTTTGAGAAAGCCAAGCATGAGGGGCTGGGGATTTAGCTGAGCGGCATAAGCGCCTGCCTTGCAAGCAGGCAGTCGTGAGTTTGATCCCTGGTACAGATAAAAAGGAAAAAGACAAAAAAAAAAAAAAAAAAAAAGAAAGCCAAGCATGGTCGTGCATACCTCTAGTCCCAGAAC